TTTGTGAATTAAAAAGATTAAGTTATTTGACTCTTTGACTGTGAGAGGTGGATATAACTGATAAGATTTAATTAACCATTAACCCCCATAAACTCCAGCTTGTCTTTTCCCTGAGCAATTAAAAGAGGAAGTGATTTTTCAAGACTCGCTAAGGCAAATTTGGGGCTGTAAGTACTTGAAGGCCCCAGTTTTACATACCGGAAAATGTAGAAGTCATAGTCATATCTGAAATACAAACTGTCATTGGACTGCGATGTTGAAGATATAACTGTTTATTCTTGTGTACGAATAAAGACTGGGGTTCATTACTGTGAATACATAAATGAAACATATAAAGTTATTTCTCTATTATTATATTAGGCAATAAAATGTGCACTTAAATATAATTATATAAGAGTATCTAAATGTACAGCTAGTAAATAGATCATAATATAGCAGAAGGCAACTGTGATGTGTAAGAGTGTGGTGTTTGAAGAGGGAATGTGGAAAGAGGAATAAAATTAAGGACTGAAAGGATGAAATACTCCAAACAATACCAAAATTACTACTTCAATCACACTAGTTTCATTCACAAGAAAATGGTGATGGAAAAAAATAATTACGTGATAGGCTCAGGCAGAGGCATGCAGAGGATACGAGTATGGGGCTGATATCATGGGTGCGGCCACAGAAAGTGTGCCAGACAGTACCATACATATTTGTGGACCTTACATATGTCTCATTCATAACCAGAAAGTTGCTGAAATGAAATACCTCCAGTTCTCGACAGGCCTACAACTGTAGCAAATGGGACTGTGTGACATTGTATACACATTGTGTAATTCGGCATGACTTTGGCAAATAGACCTTACGTTGTTATCTTTGAAAAACAAAATTTATCCCACAAACCTTATGCAAACCATCCCATTAAGCATATAGAACAACAATGACCCTGCCTGTGTTAAATGTTAGCCACCACACTTGACAAGGGCCAGCAAAATTCACCACATATGTTCATGAGAGTGAATATAGGTATGTTTACTCATTTGAAGTGAAGTTTCAAGGATGCATCATCAGTGTACGCACCATATTACAACTAGTACAACATCCCATAGCTGAACCTTCCTCTGCTGTGTTCAGGAATGACCTGATGCGGATGAATCATTAGAGATGAAACCCAGATGCACAAGAACTGGAATAAAATTCTCCTTACTTATTATTGGTCTAACACTAGTCTGATTGTTGACTAAAGATAAAAGGAACATCCTGGCATTATTTTTGCCAAGAGGTGCTTCTGCGTCCAAACACACATCAGTCTAATTATATCAATTTTCTCGTACTTCATCCTCTCCATACATAGACGTCATGTTCACGTTAAATCAGTTCCTGATTTTTGTTGATAATGGTTTTGTTTTCCTATTGTCTTTGGTGTTCATCATTATGTTCAGCTTATTGGTATTTCTTATGGTAATATGCCGTATGCATATTTTCAGTATTGTGTCAGTATGGATTTCATATTTAACTTGCTTTTATATACTCCATTTCAATACTTTCACTGGATTCAGAATTTGCTCTTGCTTGCAAAGTTTTATGTTCAGTGCTTAATTAAAATACAACATTTAAATTTGAGAAATAAAAACAAAACAAAAAAAAAGAAACAGATCTCATACGAATATTTTAACCAATTGCCACGGGGAAAATAAATAAAAAATGAGGAAAATGCTGTGCTCATTTTTTATATTTTTTGTGAAATGTCTCTTCACATAGATGTCTCTGCTAGGCTTAACCACATAGGAGTCAATCAGTAATTCTTGCTACCTTACCTGTTTTCACCTTTCCTTGAATTGGCAGGAAAATATTTTTTACTAGTGCTATGAATATTAATTGTATTATTTTTATTATAAACATTATAATTTCTATAATGTTATAAACAGTAGTAACATCAAAATAAGATAACAGAAAATATTTTTGTAAATCAAAGAAAATGGATGACATCCTATCATGTCATGGTTAGATTGTCACTGGGATGACACCGTGTGTGGTCGAGCCTGTGCGTAGTTATTGGCGCCAAACAGTTTTTCACTTGTTTGGCTCTGGTTGTTGTCATGAAAAGAAGTAGAGTTAACCCATTGGCGACGGGCATGGCATATACGTCCATGCAATACCCACTGTGAGTTTACTTGTTTAATTGTTTTTACCCCTTAATAGCTACACTTGCACTAAGTCATCAATGAGCCAATTATGAGTACTGCCGTTCTTGCCCATTTACCCTTTTCATTGATTAATGAAATTATTTTACGTTATCTTATTTTGCTGTTACAAATATTTATAATATTGTAGTGATTATAATGCTTATAATAAAAATAACACCAATATTTATAGCACTAAAAAATATGATTTTCCCACCCAATTCAACGAAAGATGAAATTACCCAATTCAACGAAAGGTGAAATCAGGTAAGGTCTCAAGATCTACTAATTGACTCCTTTGTGGCTAAGCACTAGCAGAGCCATCTATGCGC